AATTTTTCATCTTATTCTCCTTCTATGTCTTTGTATTGTCCTACATATTCCTACTCTTTTTCTAGGGTTTTATTGATGAGTTCATTTGTCTCTGTGTATTTATATTATCATTGTCTATTGTCCTACTTGTTGATGATGTTCACCCAACCCAAGATCGATAAGGTAAGTTTCTTCTGTTTGCTGTTTCAGACTGACCAGGTAATATGTTTTCTGGTTTCACAGTATTTTGATTGTAATTAGACACTTATTTGTTTGAAGTTGTAAACGCTAAAAAATTGCACAAAGCCCTACATATGCAGTTTCTCAAGAAGGGGGGACGGAATCTCTCAAAGCTGTTTCTCAATTCCTACAGTTACGAGCCTTTTTTTGTCAACTACTCAATAGTGTTATAAACTTAATTACAAGTTTTCTATCATAATAAACTCTATGGACAGTCAAACATGTATAGGTGATACATCGAAGAAAAAATCTTATAACATCACAGTTGCTGGGCTGGATACTGTATTCATAGCTGCAAGAATCTGGCGAAACAGTTGCAGAACGAAGGATCAACAAAATTATACATGTAATAACCCAAAGTAAATAAAATTATAAATCTACAAATAATTAAAATGTAAAATAAGAGTGGAGAGAAGGGGGCTTATTAAACAGCAATGGTCCATTACGATATAAATAGTATTATTACATATCTCCATTCTAAACAACTCACAAAAAAAAAAAAAAAAAAATTCATCATCAGTCTCAATCTAACTTGACTTTCTCTATAACCATATAAGATATAAATAGTATTATTACATCTGGCCGTATAGATAGCCCTCTCTGATATATAACGCTTATGTCCCCTAAACCATGAATAAAAAGTGACAAAAGATGAGGAAAAAAGTGGAGAATCTTCAAAATCCCATACAAGCATCCCTGATCTATTCAGAATACAAAGAAGACAAAGTTTCAAACCAGCTAACCTTTTCGTCTCAAATGGAATGTGTCCCAAGCAATGGTTGGATAAAGTTTTCTGGTGATTCCACTGAGGTTACACGCTCTAAGCAATGTTGAAGCTGCTTATACGCCATTGCATCATAAGATAATGGACCCGTTATTTTCATTGACTTTGTCTATTTTAACTGCTGCCTGCACCACATAAAAAAAAAAAAACTATGTACATTCTTTCTAATTTAGCAACCAGTTTGATTCATTCAATCTTCTCAAATCTCAAAGAATTTATTCCATTCATTTACTCGGAAAAATATATGTATTGGGAAATTGATAAGTAAGAGTTTTTGAGGCTCTTTGGCTATCAATCCCCTTTGTCTGTTATAACACAAAGGATATCAATCCAAGGTGTGAATTTTAGTACACTAAACTATGTGATCAGCTCTTAATCCAAGCAAAACAAGATGGTTTCATTTCAAACAAGTGACAAAATTACAATTAAACAAGATTAAAGACTTAAACAAAGCAGTCAACAAAGACAACAAATGATTAAGATGATATGAATATGATGAAACATAGATCTCTAGACATGATAGTTGGCTAGGGTGCATCAGGGTCTAATCAAGGAGCTATTGACAATGATGATGAATGATCTCAGTGATAACACCGTATTTTGACTACTTTTATGGATCGTTTTGAAATACTTTTTCTATGTTTTTTATTGCTTTCAAGTATTTTTATTATGTTTTTCTAGTATTTGTAGTTCCAAAACTCTTTTCACAAAACTTAGGGAAAAGCTTAACAAAATGGATAGAAGACCAGAATTTTAGCTCAGAGTGAAATCGTCAAAAGTTCACCATCAAATGAAGACCTTCTCACCGTCTGATCCAGCTAAAATTTGGAGACCTAAAAGATGGAACTATCAGCTTTCCAGCATACTTTACAGCTTAGCAATCCAACGGTTCAATCAAAAGTTATGCGAAAAGCAAGATGTCCCGTAAACCAGCCGGCAAGCATTTCCACCCGCGGCCAACAGCCATTTCACCATGGTCAGAGGCTACATGACCGCGGCCAGGCATCCATTCACCTGGCCACGTCCCTTCCGACAGCGGCCAGCCATCTCCGATTTTGAAGGCCCATTTCTGAAGCCCAAAATGATTCCCTCATTTGGAGAAACCCTAAGTGACGCCCAGAAATGTCTTGAGCACTATAAATACATGTTTTAGGAACCCTAATTCGTATCATCTCTTATGATCTTATTGTTTTAGAATACCTTTTAGGTTTTTTTTAATACTTTAGCTTTTAGGTAGATCGAGATCTATCTCTTGAACCCTTTTTGTTTCTTCTTCAATTTTGATTATTGCTCAGCTTTTCAATACAATGTTTTTGCTTTCTTTAATCATGTCTGAGTAGTTTTATTGTTGGGTTTAAGGGATTTTTCGATGGGGTTTATATATGTTCGATGATGATTTCATTAGCTATTGAAGCCGAATCCTAGAACTTATTTATAATGCATGGGAGTAGCGTCATGAACTACAATCTGATCCCGGTTTTGGATGTTGCGAAAGTTTTCATTCGAGGCCAGATCTAGTTCGAGAAGATCAGATCGACCATAGGAGTGGAAATCTACCTATGGGAGAGCTGTGAATATTGACGAGTCTTAAGCTTACTGCATCTTTTCTTTTCCAGTGCCAGAGTAGAAACCTACTGGTCATGGTTTAGAGAGATAGTTGGTTATGATCACGACAGTGGCGTATTCATACGTTTGGGATTCGAGTTCTATAGGTTTTAGCTAGGATCTTATTAAATTTACTCTTTAGCAATGTTTTGAATCATTCATTCCCCGGAGAGAATTTCCCTGAAAACTCAGCGCCTCTTTTTTATAGATTTACATCGATTTTCATTCAAGTTTTAGTCTAGTATTTTTACTCTTTCAGCTGATTTTCATACAAGCAATAAGGTCTAGCCGTTTTCTCATTTTTAGTCGATTTCTCTAAGTTTAGTTATTAGGTCTTTTAATTCTCGTATTTTCCGTTAAGATTACTTTTTACGTTTTAAAGACACCACCAAAACCTTTACAAATATCGTCTGGTTCTAGACTTCTTTACTTTGTATTTCTTTCGAAGGCTTTTGCAGGAAAGATCCTCTTTCCCTGTGGATTTGATCCCTACAATCTATCAGTTGTGCACTTGCGGCTATTGGTTTCATTTAGGATAAAACTTGACAACCCTCACGCAGCAGACACATCACTCAGCAGTTTAGGATTCAATTAAAGTTTTAATCTTTCTCAAGCATCAAAACTCTAAACCAAATATTGCTCATACCTAATCATCATTAGAGGCATAATGAAAGGAATGCATTAAACACAAATCCTAATATACCATCTATGCTTAAAACAACATTCACATGTGAATTAAACAAGATACTCTTGACTTAGCTGGTTCAGGAATTTCATCAAACACTTTTTGGGTGGATGAAATGCCAAAGATCTGGGTTAGAGAGATCATCTAAACCCAGCATTAAGATCAGCTAAGCAAGACAGAAACGCATAAATCTAGCCCTAAGCAACCTTGATCAAACCCTTAAGCATCCTAACCTACATATCTAGAACCTTAATGAGGTGACTACTCACTAATAATGATTAACTGTCTGATTCATTTGCAAGAAGAGTAGTTAAGCATGATTAGTTAATAAAGAAAAGAAGATGGATGAATAGTTATGATGATAAGATGGATGGATTAAGCTCTCAAACACTTTTGATTCAAAGAAAAGAAACGAGATATATCTTTTTTTTTGTCTCTTACACAAAAGTGGCTAAAAACTTAAGGGAAAATGAGATGTTCTTTGGGAAAAAACCCTAAAATATATTTATAGTGGTTTGGTTCGGACCGGATCAGCCCAGGAAAAACTGGGTACTGACCCGGTTCAGTTGGGTCGTGTGGCTATGGTGCGAGATGGTCCTGGCTTCAGCTCACCGGCACTGCCATCTCGCAGCCCTAAGCGCTTGTTGTTGCGGGTCAGCTCCTTTGCTTCTTTAATTGCACTCCCATGTCGCATCCTTTAAGCAAATGCACCTGCGGCATAGATCCTTCCTTTCCCACTCGCAGCTCCAAGGTCACAGCCCCAAGAGAGTATGAGTGCGACATGGTACTTCTCATCATCCATCTCGCACTGCCATGTCGCAGCCCCATGCGAGTGTGGGTGTGATATGGTTCATCACCTTCTTCACTCGCACTCCCATGTCGCAGGATGTTCTAGACTTCGAATATTTTGAGCTTTGGAAATATTAACCCTGCTCCGAGTTACCTCACCCACATCATTCAAGTTGCAGTTTGCTCCCAGAGTTAAATACTCCTTGCTGCGAGTTAGCTAAGTCGCAAAGCTATGTCGCAGCATTTCTCATTTCTCGGACCAACTTGCACTTGAGCTTGGATAATTTGTGGGATAGGAGTCCAAAATGCTCGGGACAAACTCCAAAGGGAAGGCAGATAAATTTCCTACAACTTTTGTGAAGAACTTGGGTGCATCCGAGGTGAGAAAGTCTTTCCGGTAAACGGATCTTTGCATCGGCTTGGGAGGTTTTGGTTTCTTGTTGTGGGACATGTCTTTCTCCCGACTGCAATATCTCCCAACTCAATACTCTAAATAGGATGATTCCAAGCGCTCAGTGCACTCATATAAGGCGGGTTTTAGCCCCATATAAGGTGTAACAAATTGGTATAATGCAACTCGTATCGGTAGATAAATCGGTAGTATGCTATTATTTTGTAAATTTAATTTAGACCAAAAATTTAATTTAGACCGATTAAAAAAGTATTAGTGACTTTTTGATTAAGAAAAATAAAATAATTAATCACCCTAGAACTCTTAGCTGGGAAAAAGATAGTGTATTAGCATGGATAACAAAAATATTGGTGCAAAAGATAGTGTATTAGCATGGATAACAAAAATATTGGTGCATTAACTAATACAAAATATAGTTGTATTATTATGGAATTTTCCTAATCTTTTTCATCAATCACGTTTAAATTTTTGCAAGAACTCTATCTTGTTATATAAATGTAAGTTAGAAGCTTTGAAAGATCTCATCTGGATTAAGCATAATGTTTCCATAGTGGACAGTCACTGGACATTTTATTCGATACATATATGTTTGTTTATATAGGCCAAAGCTTGGTAAGGAGGAATGAAGTTTGGAGAGGAGATAATTTCTTCACTCAACTTGTGAAAATCCTCCACCAGTCTCGGCCTTTGTCCTACCAAAAAGAAACAGAGTTTGTATTTGAAGGATGTTCATATCACATGGGGAAAAAGGAGTAATTTGGTTAAAAATCAGGCTTACTTGTGATCAGAAGGATTTGGTCTAATCTCATATACGATAGTCGCAACAACATCTCTTTTCAACTGTTAAGATCAAAGGGTTAAAGAACTTAAACAGGCACCATAATCGTAACTAGTAGCAACATAGCAACATTTGTATATGCAAACTTACCTGTGTTGCTTCACCTTTGAACCCGATATAACGTATTTGGGTTGTGTCACCTCCAAAGCTCTCAGGGAAATGCAATGTTATGTTCCCAACGCTCTGGAATTTTGAATACCTAGTTACAGCACAAATCACATTACGCGGTTTCACTGTATCAGGCATCTTCACTTTTGATCAGTTGAAGCGGCATACTTAGTACAGTAAAACAAAAAGTGCTCAAATGATATTTAGTTCTTAAGATTCATTACATAAATCCATAGAGTCTATTAAAACCTATTATCAGTACCTGGTCTGGTATTCTAAGACTCCTTGCAAATTTTCAGCTAATTCCCATTCCTTAAAAGAACATACAAATGTTTCTGCGTTAGTGCGATGATCTTTTGGCATTTTGGTACTCACAAGGGAATACCTGAACGGCTTGCATGCTCTCAGCGTCAGAGAAGTCAATCCCTTCACGATTGATGAACCTGGTTTTGAGATCAACAATTTAGCTTTCTGTAATTTCTCAAATGGAGGAACAGTATGCAGAACTCAACATATCCATACATGAAAAAAATTGGTAGAGTGGTTTAGACATACACTCTCAACTTAGAAGGACTTGTTCCCTCAGGGCCACCAACAATTGATATGCTCTTGATCTTGACGTCTGATGTGAATCTACGATAATCATGACAACATGAGCCGCGCATCTAAAAGTACTTATAATTTTCATAGTAACAAAAAAAAGGACTGTATCTACTTCTCCCAAGCTTCTAAATGCAAACCAATAATAATAGAAGAAACTTGAAGTCACGGGTCGGTCATTGAACATAGAAGGTCATGTTAAAAAAAACAAATTGCCAGTTTGAAGAGGAACATATAAATAACTATGACATACGGTACAAAGACAAGTAGTTCAGGGTCTCCCTCATTGCTCTCCAAATGCTCCTGTAAGCAAAGAAAAAATACCATTTCCTTTTAGAAAAATCATGGATACAAGCTAGCATAAAAAACTTATTAAGGGTGCATGTAATTAAGGATCCTTCATTAGGCAAGCCTGATACTGGTTGAGTCATGCTCACATGGTTACCTACATGATCCTTACCACAATCTTTAAAGCTATCTCTATGTTTTCTCCATCAAACCAACAAGAGGTCATTGTTCAACTTCAATAAGTCCAAAACATAAGTTATTGTGAAAATTTAATTTACCCCAGAAGATTCTAATCGCTGTTCCCACGTTTTGAAGACTGATTTTACACTTCCGGAAACAGCCTCGTTCAGAGCAGAAACCTGAGACCAAGTTATACACCTACTTAAGACTTTGCTAAGCATACAAATACATCATTTCTCATAGAATCTACTTCAAAAACAGAGAAAAAAGTGAATAAAAAACTTAAGACTTTTACTCAAAACTCTTGCAATTTGTATGTGAAAGAAAACCCAAATTCTGTATACGAAACCCTAAATTGGGAAATAAAAGGTTTGGATCATCCTATTACTGAGGAAGCCTATCAACGATATTCGCAAAACTGTTTCTCATAAACCCAATACCAAATAGATTTCGAAATCCCTCACACAAGTCCAGCGAGTTGAAAACTCAGAATATCTTTGACATTTACGCAGCATCAATTGGAATCTAAATTGTTCGAAATCATTAATCGATAACTGAGACCAACGCGATAATTGAAGATCCAAACAATATTTGACCAAAATCGAAAGAGGTAGCGGAAGAAAATTGAGAGAGTGAAACCTTGGAGAGATCAATGTGCTTGTAGAGTGACCAATCGGAGGAACACTCATGATCCTCGCAGTTGTGATCATGCGTACACGACATTTTTCCAATCGGGATTTTTTTTTTCCTAGGCGAAACTGATCAGGAATTGTGGCGACGAATCGAGAAACGAGAGAAAGTGCGGGGAGAGATGGCTAAAATATATATATATTTTTTTTTTAACATCTATTTGATGCTAGCTCGAGAGATCAAGGATCAATTTCCTGACTTTGATCTTGAGGGCAAGATCATTCTCAAAGGGGGGGGGTATTGATAGAGCCGTGAATGTATATAGAAGAAGAGTAAAGAAGGATCAAGAGAATGAAGTCGTTGAAGAAACAGAGGATACACGTGGACAAGGCGAATGAAGGCACGTGGAAGAAGAGAAAGTATAAATAGAAGTTACGGTTAGGAGAAACGTATGCACTTTGTATGTTGTAAAGCGATATGAGCTTGAGTATTCTGTTACATTCGTTATGAGAGTGTAGAGAATACAGTTACAGATACATTGTGTAATTCTTCATACTCAATACAAGTGATTCTTTCTTGAGTGATTAGATCTAAAATCTATCAGAGGCTGCCCAGCTTAATCAGTCTCAATCTCAGTTGATTTATGTTAATTGTAACGCTTTGGAACGGACTGTGAACCAAGTGAAAACATTTCAAGACGTGCTTAATAGGACCACTGATTATTGTTGTCTAACAGATGGTTCATAGGTCTCTCCAAATCAGTGTGCCGGCGTAGGCTGGGTTTTATATAAGAAGAATGGCCAAATGGTTCTTAGAGGACAAGCAGCAATCATACCTACCCCTACACCATTGGAAACAGAAGCTGAAGCTTTGAGGATGGCAATGATTCATACTTTGAGGCTAGGATACAAGAACATCATGTTTTGTGGAGATGCCTCGAATCTGTTCCAATCGATTGCAACATCTTCAGTAGCTGATGGTCAACAAAGAAGGAGTCATTCCTTGTTATCTACTTATTTGCAAGATTTTAATAATCTTGCTAACGAAAAGAGTGTCATAAGTTTCCTTCAGATTCCATGCACTGTTGATATGTTTGCTAAGGATGCTAAGACTAAAGTTTTAAATCTTGTAATATCTTGGAACTGTGTACGTTAGCTTTTCTATTAATAACAAAGACGACAAAAAAAAACGAGAATATTACTATTAGGTGTATTTTTTAAAAGTATAATTGCAAAAAAAAACACTTTCTAGAAATGGTGGACTTATCTTATTTTACTCTCATTTTTGACTTTTTTGCCCTTTTTTTTCTTTTTCCTCATTTTCTATTTTTTGACTTTATATTTATATAGCTACATCCATTTATAATATATACACATAGATATACATATATATTTATATAATTATGTCTATATATATGTAATTATATGGATACATATGTAAATATACATGTGTATTTATATGATTACATCCATCTATACTCTATGTCTATATATATGTAATTATATGGATACATATATAAATATACATGTGTATTTATATGGTTACATCCATCTATACTCTATGTACATGGATATACATATATATATATATATATATATATATATCTATATAATTGCATAAATATCCATATATTTGTGTTTATGTGTACAATACTATATAGATACGTATATGTATACATATATATACACCTATATAATTTTATAGATATCCATATACAGTATTTGTGTCCACGTGGACGCTACTATATGGATACGTATGTGTTTATCACTAAAAGACAAAATAATTTAAATTAATATAAAATGGGTATCAAAATATTAAGAAAAAAATTATATAATTTATAGTGTCAAAATAATTATTCGATTATTTTTTAAAATAATAGATAAATAACAACAAACAATTATAAGGGGTGTGTGAGAAAAAGAGACAAAAGAGATAAAACAGTTATTTGTCTCAACAAAATAGCCAAATAGAAGAAAATTATATCTTTTTGGTAACTAAAACTTAAAAGTACCTGTTTTGGACATTATACTTTCAAAAAGTACACCTAATGGTAACACAATCTAAAAAATACACAAATAATAAAATATAACTTTGTAAAAAATAATAAAACAAAAGAAATACATATATGGATGCTTTTCCAAAAAAGTCTTACTCGATTCTATATTTGCATTTGATGTATTGCGAATTGTCTCCTTGGTTATTAATATAACCAATGAGTTTCATCGAGATTTTTGTGGTGTTCAGTGTACCCTGAGCTCAAACACCATTTCTTCATGTTGTATTACCTTGACCAACTCCCAATTTAGATCTAGAGATGTTTTTCGATTAAGAATCCAATGTATTGATTCTTTCGAAAAACTGAGATATTGGGATTGTCAAGTTTCGAAGATTGTATGAATATCGCCATACAACATTGAGGATACAGCCGTTCCACATTGTTGTCTCCTCCATAATGATATTGATTTTCCAGGATCCCAAATTCGCCGTCCAAGACACCAACGCTGGATTTTAGACTTAATTCCTTCTCCAAATTGGTATCGAAGATGTGGGGCATCATGGAGGGAGACATGAAAATGTAAGAGTAGTAATACGGGAACTAACACAGAACACAACACATGGATTTTCTCTTCAAAGATATTTCACTAGTAAATCTGTTTGTAACTTACAAGTATACAGAACCCGATTTAGAGCAACCTCAAGACACACCTTGATTTGCTACACTAGTCTCACTTGTTCTTGAATTGATACGTGATTCAAGAACCTCTCACCCAAATCCCTTAGCACACTAGCTCACAAAAACTCTCACAGATTTTCGCTCACCCTTTGCTAAGTATTCTCTCAGTTGTGTTAAAAACCCTACACGGTTTTTCACACGCCTATTTATACATAATAGGACTTGCGGCTACTCCTCGCCTAGATCCTCCTTGTGATTTCTCCAAATCTTCATGAGAATCTTCACCTTCCTTATCTTCTCCTAAGATAAAGGAAACTTGATATTTTCTTCAAATATCCTCCAAGATACTCCAAGCTTCCTATCCACGTCAGCTTCTCGTCTCTTGAAGTGTCCAACACGTCCTGCAGCTCCAGCTCAGCTTCCAGCTCACCTCCATGTGTGTAGATTGCTTTGCAAGTCTTCCTGTGTCAGTTCCAGAGCTAGTTGGACTGCTACATGTGCTGCTCCAGCCTTGTTTGCATCTTCAATCTCCCCCTTTTTAGCATATGTGCTCCACAAGTACCTGTTCAGGAAATCGAGACCAAACAAGCAACAACCAGCATACTACAAGCCACACAGAATTCGGGGAATGATTCCAAAAGATTCCGATTAACCAAAAGAAACTCCAAGAAACCAATGGAGTGTCAAGTCTTAACATAAACGAGTTCAAGGAGATAAGAAATAGAACAAAACACAATGTCTTAAACAAAACTCTCCTTACTCCCCCAGAATTCTAAAACCCCCAAAATAAACCCAAACAAAAACTCCCCCATAGTTCATGCATCCACCGATTTCAATCTTCTCCCCCTGCTTGTGAGCACAGATGTTAAAAATAATCGATGAGCAAACATAATTTGAAGGTTCAAATAGGGTCTAAGTGGGTTTACCTGTGACTGCAGTGCGTAGCATGGCCGTTACTACCCCGAGTTGCTCAAGAACTGATGCCACATCTTCTAGAGCTGTCCTGATTCCCTCTGCATCAGCTGGAGCCTCAGGCACTCGAATCACTCCCAGACTCACGTTGTTGACTCCTCCAGTTGGCGTGTTCGGCTGGGCAGCGGTTGTTGGACACGGATTCGAGGTTGAGGGACGCGATGTCGATGCAACTCCAGTCCTCTTTCTTGCCTCTTTCTTTCGTTTCTCCTTGGCCTTTTCCTCAGTGACTGCAGCAGCAGCTTCCTTTTTGAGAAAGGTTTCCCCACTTCGTGGATCCTTCTTGTATTTGGTTGGGAAGATCCACATTTCACCTTCTTTGAGCTGCAGAATGAGCTGCCTCTTGATGACCTTGCTGATGAGACAGGGAAACATTAGCCATCGTCTATCCCCCTTGATGACCTTGCTCAGATCAAGCATCTGCTGGAAAATCATCCGCCCAATGTCAACATTGATTCCGTGCGCCAGCTTATATACCAACCTTGCCCGTTCCTCAGAGATGTGATGCTTATTCGTCGAAGGGACTCAATTGTAGGATGCGATGACCATCAGTGCAGCTATCCGTGGAGGAAAATCTCTCGAGGTTAACTCAGCCCATGTAGACTGATGTCCTTGTGACAGGTATCTTGATACCTCAGAGATTGGCACAAGATCTGCCTCAGCCTCCTCTTTTCTTTCTGCTTCAGTCAGAGGCTCGCGGCATAAGGTCTCATTGATGATCCCTGGAGAAATTCTGACTTTGGCTCCTCTGATTCTCACCACAAAGACCTGAGATGGATCACTCGGTGACTCTGGAGGTAGCCCTGCATAGAACTCTCGCACCACCTTGCTCATGTATGGCTCGAGTTCTGTCACCGTCCACCGCATTCCGCTCTCACGAAGTACCTCAAGGTACTTCCATTCATCCTCTTTGTCCACATCTACAACTCGTTTGCTCCAGATGTGACGATCCTTGAACAACTGGAATCGTTCATCAGACACCACCCTCTTTTTGCTCCTGAGGTTGGACTTCTTCTTTTTCTGCTTGACATGGCTCGACTCAGGTTCTGGGCAAGGAGCGGCTGGGGTTGATTCAGCTCTTGGTTCTGAGGTTTCAGCGGATGTGGTTCTTTTCTTTTCTTTCCGAGCTCGCTTGGCAGCAGGGACCGTCACCATCGCCAGACTCCGCTTCTTTTTGACCTCATCGATTTGCTCCTGAACCGACATCTCCTCTGGCCTCTCGCCTGTCTCAGATGGCAGACCTCTTCCTTCTTCATTCTCAGACATCACCTTTTCGTTGTCATCGGGCTCAGCCTCTATTCGGGTCTCCGATGCGGCTTCTTTATCCTCCCTCACTTGATCGGCACCTTGCGTTTCAGATTTGGCTCGAGGACTTTCTTTGTTTTCTGCCTCGGGCTCATTCACACCATCGTGTTCCTCTTCTTGTGCCACCGATTCAACCTGAGCTTCGACGGGAAGCGGAATCTCTTCTCCAAGATCCTCCGGTGACTTGGCTGATGAGTCTCCGCCTTCGTCTACCGTGGCGAAAGATTCGCTCTCGCTGCCAGTCCCCTTTCCTGTTCCAGACTTCTCTTCGCTCTGAATCACGGGCGGATTCTGTTCTTCACCACTCGATCCATCGATTAGGTGAGGAGACGAAGCATCACCTGTTGCATGTGCCATCTTTGACTTTGGTTTCTTTCCGATGAGCCCTCTTCGTGTTGCAGACACCATTTTATTTGCAGATCTAGGCTGAGATGCTTCGAATTGAGTCACACAAGTTCTTCACACCTAGGGTTTTGGATCAATTCAATGTAGCGTCTCTTTCTCTTCCTCCTCCGCAAATATAGCCACATCAATTTCCCTCTCCTTTATTTGATTTTTTTTCTCATGGGCTGCTGTTGGGCCTTCCTGCAATAGCATCATTTGTCCAAGGCCCACTTCCTGTTTAACCATGACAAGTCTTTTTCTAGCACAAGAACATCCATTAGTACATCACAAGGAACACGACAGTCATTGACACATTTAAACCGAAGAATTTTGTGATGGCTAACATAAATAGTAACCGTTCACCTCATCACACCTCAACTAGCTTTTGAAAACAGTTTTTGCTTATTTACCCAGATTCACAGATGACACATAGACTGATTCAGCACATGACTCGAATGATCACTCCGCTTCTTCTTGATTCTTTGTGCCTTGCCAGGTTTGATACTGAGACTAGCTTTCACACTATCTTGTCTTTATCACGTTCTTCACCAGTTTTCAACCTTTATTCAGCAAGAGAGAACCTTAGGTACTTGTCGCAGTGCATTTTTTTATTTGATACACTGTGACTTGGCAGCTTCCTTTCTTTTTCTGCCTTGGGTTTTTCTTTGAGCTTTGGACAGGTCTTCTTTTTGATGTAGGACCTGTCTCTGAAGTACCGATTGCCCTGTAGCTCAGTCTTATCATTGCGATTTCTCAAAGACCGACTTACATTGCCTTCAGACTGTTTGGTTCTCTCTGTGAAACCTGTACTGATGTCAAGACATGACGACAAGATAGGTAGCTCTTTTTCTCCGACCTTTAACCCTCAAGACTGAATCGAAACGTTATGTTCATCCTGAGCCTGTACCTGTATCAGTTCTGCACATCTCAAAGCACTTGTTAAATTCCACAAACACCAATTGCATTTCTTAAAGTGACAAAATGATTAAAGTCCAGTGGTTTTGTGAATAAATCAGCCAGTTGAGATTCAGTGACAACATGCTCGATCACTACCTGTTTTCCTTCCACTAACTCACGGATAAAGTGGTGTCTTATGTCGATGTGTTTGGTCCTTGAATGTTGTACTGGGTTCTTGGAAATGCTTATAGCACTCTTGTTGTCACAGTACACAAGAAGTGGACCTGAGTCCATTCCATAGTCAGCGGACATCTGCTTCATCCACAGTAGTTGGCTACAACAGCTCCCCATGGCAATGTATTCTGCTTCAGCAGTGGAGAGGGACACTGAGTTTTGCTTTTTGCTGAGCCACAAGATGAGGTTGTTTCCGAGAAAGAAACACCCACCACTGGTGCTTTTCCTGTCATCAGCACTTCCTGCCCAATCTGCATCACAGTATCCCACTAGGTTCTGATTCGATCCTTTCGAGTACCAGATGCCTAACTCAACTGTGCCCTTGACGTACTTGATGACCCTCTTTACCGCCTCAAGATGCGATTGTTTAGGTTTAGCTTGGTACCTAGAACAGATGCCAACACTTAGGCACATATCCGGTCTGCTAGCTGTGAGATAGAGAAGACTTCCAATCATTCCTCTATACAAGGTTGGATCAACACTTGTTCCCTCATCATCTCACGTGAGACTGGTGGTTGTGCTCATTGGGGTCTTTGCCTCTTTGGCTGAATCAAGCTTGAACCTCTTCAAGAGATTTCTGGCATAGGTGCTTTGTGATATAAAAACACCTTCCTCAGATTGAGTGATCTGAAGTCCCAAAAAGTACTTGAGCTCTCCCACCATACTCATCTCAAACTCACTCGTCATGCTTGCAACAAAGGCATCAACTAGCTCTTGAGAGGTTCCTCCGAAAATTATGTCATCCACATAAATCTG